CCCTCCATAGACCCCCCATCTCCCCCATCCCTCCATCTCCGTCATATTTCTTCATTAGGCAGGATTTTTAAACACCTCTTGTATCTCCTATTAAAGAAAGTTCTGCATCAATTACCACGACCAGCTATCAGTCACTGTCACACACACACACACACACACACACACACACACACACACACACACACACACACACACACACACACACACACACACACACACACACACACACACACACACACACACACACACACACACACACACACACACACACACACACACACACACACACACACACACACACACACACACACACACACAGCCATGTGAGCATCCATGTGTCACTGTGGTAACGCCCGGTGTGTCAGAGGAGAGAAGGGGTGGGGGGATGAAAATGGAGAGGTGGATAAGGAACGAACCCCAGCAGGAATGGAGGGAAGCGTGAAGGGAAAAGACAGAAAGAGAGAGGGAGGAGTGAGTAAAGGAGAAGAAATAAGGATGTGTAGCGAGAGTTGGAGAAGCAGTAAGACGGGGAGGGTCAGGGGGTTAAGGATGGAGGGATTGAGGGAGAAGGAGAGAGTAGGTATCATTAGTCCTCTTTAGCTTCCATTATGAATATTAAAGTGAACACTGTTCAGTTTACCCCTTCCACCCCGTGTTGGACTTAAAGACACAAGATTCAGTTCCTTCAAGCACTACGGAAAGATGATAAAAACACCAAATCATAAAAATCGGAAAAATCCAAGAGAGATACAAGGCATGGTATCAAGCTCGAAAGCCTTATTGTCAATGCAGCTAATCACAAACGTATACACATTCCATCTAATGCAAAATGTTGCTGGGAAAGACTGAGTGGACTGGGTACGCACTACAGCACTGTGACCTACGAAGAGAGGTAGGAGAGTCGGGATGAGAGTTAAGCTAGCACAGCAGACTGAAGGCTTTACAAGAAGACAACTATGAAGCTGCCTTTACCTCATACGTGGTAAAACTGCCCTGCACTGATGTTGTCGTTGTGTTTCTATGGAGACAGTGAATAGGCGGAAACGCTAAACTTGGCGTCGCTTACCGCACAAATGTGTCGGCAAACGCTGTGCTCAAAGCTCAAAACATTTCCACTTTGACCTTGTTTAGCAATGAGCTTTCAATGTGCAACCAATCAGGTAACAGCTTTATCTAGTAGCCAGAGCTAGCAGGGGAGGTAACCATAGAAACAGAACATAACAGTAATAATACATGGTATTTATATAGCGCTTTTCCTGGTGCTTAAATATGCTTTACAAGTAAATAAATAAAGAAAAGAATGACAAAATAAATAAAAAGTCCTAGACTAAATGTAGGAAGGCAGTGGAATGGGCAGGGGGATATAGGATTAGCAGTTAAAAGCTAAAGAGATCAAGTGTGTTAACTGGCTGTTTGTATCGCAAGGCTTTGCGTCCAACCTTGCTCATGTGAATGCATTACACATGAAATGCAACTGAAGCTCATTGATGTTAGGAAGAACAAGACAACACAAAAACAGGAGTGCAATTTGCATCATCATTTCAGTTAAACACAGTCCGCCTTCTTTTGTCTAATCAGAGTCCTGCTCTCTGTCTTGCAGTCAGCCCATCAAGTGCAACTGCGCCTGGATATTAGCCAGGAGCAGGCAGAGCAGCTCCTAGCTTCTTCTCATTAGCTTCTCATTAGCATTTGCAAACCAGCTAACTGTCATCACTGATATCTTCAACATATCACTGCCAAAGGAGAGTGTTCTCTCTTGCTTTAAGAGACAGCTACTATTAACCTGTACCTAAACAGTGTGTAGTGTGTAATCTAAATGACTGCCACCCTTTTGCACACACCCCCATTCTGATGAAGCGCTTTGAGAAACTGAAGCTCAATCATAAAAAACATCCCATCCTGCCTGTACCCTTAGCAGTTTGCATGCAGCCTCAACAGATCAACAGATGATGCTGTCTCCACTCAGCCCTCAAAAATCTGAAAAATAAAAACACCTGCATCAGAACTCTTGTTGATTTCAGCTCAGCAGTCAACTCAATCTACCCATGAAACTGACACCTCTCTACTGCTGCACTCTGGAGCCCCCCAGGGCTGTGTGCTCAGCCCCCTCCTGCTCGTACTGTACACCTGCTACATCAGGAGACACGGTTGTTAAAGGTCCCATGTCATGGCCATTTCTACTGATCATAATTCCATTGTTGAGGTCTACTAAAATAGATTTATATAATGCAATTCTCATACAGCATCTCTGTATAGTTTGCGTATTCACTCTCTGTCCTAAACGGCTTGTTGGAGCTCCTGCCCCCCCCCCTCCCTGTGAGACCAGTTGCCGTCTGCGAGACAGCGAAACACAGCCCGAAACTATGGCGTTATATTTGTACCTCTATCCTGAGCACGCAATGAAACATGTTGAGCATAGAAAATGATATTGAGCGCGCACTTGAACATTTTTGAGCACAGAGAAATATATTTTCTCTCATAAAACTCCTGCTCCGTGCGCAAGCAGACCGCTGCACGTGCTACCACTACAAGCAACAGTTACAAGCTACAAAACAGCCACAAGCTACGCTACAAGCCACAAGCTACGCTAGCCGCAAGCTAGTCTGCACGAGCTACGCTACAAGCTACGCTGAAAGCTGTAAGTAAGCCACAGAACACCAAGAGAAAACACCATGCCTGGAGATCAGCTGTGGCTGAACCACATCTAACCAAGCCCTGTAACTGACTGCCTTGTGGACACGATAAGAAGATTTACAGGACATGACAGACTTCAATGAAGAGAATAGTACGCCACAGTGTCAGGTGAGTAATACATTTCTAGTTTTCTGATATCACGTTATTGTTTGCAATGCCTGAGTTTGCTAGCCGGCAACATAGATATAGGGGTAGTTTAAACAAACAGCTAACAAACCGTAGCATACATGTACATGAACCCTTCTGAGGTATTGATTACTTGCTGTAAGCATTAGAGGTGGCAGAATGACAAAACATGTTTTTCTCTCTATCACAATTTTGGCTTGACCAGAACCTGGACCAACTTCTGTTTCTTGTTCTACAATGGGCATAGAGTTTGCGTTAATTTTCAACCGGACAATTTAACAGATTAGGCTAGAATACCGGAAAAGTTAGCAACACACGTTATCCATGAACAGCCTATTAATCCAACGTTGTGGAATTAGAGAAAAGGGGCTTCTTAACGTGCTTTTATCCGGGGTGGAGGGAGTTACATATTAGTTAAATATAACATTGGGGCGTGTGATTGATATGGATTTAGAGTGGATATTTGAGACTTCTAAACAGTAAACAAAAATGTAATTTATGGGTGAGTGTTTTTATCAGAGCCATATTATGTCTTGATGATGGCAAAGGGAGAGGGACTTAAGTGAGAGTGAAAACACAAGGTAAGTTTAAAATAGGTCAGCAATTTCCCATCCTATAGGTTGCTAGATGTATCTAACCCTTTCTCCTGTCTTTGTCTCCCTCTTTCAGCACAAGAACCCCACGGGGATTCAATGGAGCCTGAATACCCACTGAGACCCTCACCCTGACCCTGAGTCTCAGCTCTCAGAGTTTTGCAAGCCTCTCCCTGTTCCTTATTTTTGATTAAACAGACGTTAAGCTTCCCAATGGTGTGATCTTTGTTTAGTGAAAAATATGATTACCTCACATGTTGTTGCTGTTGTTGTCTTTTGTGATAGTTAAATTGCTCCTGCTGACTTGAGCCAGACATTCTTTCCTCCTCTCTGTGTCAGTGGGGAAACTTTAGATGTGTACTCCTTTCTCTGAGCGCTTGGAGCATCCCCCGGCAGCACAGCAACCAATGGGGGAGACTATATGCCAGGACAACAGAGGAAAAGGCACAGACAAACGGCATGACATGCTATTCAATGTGTATTGAATTCCATTTATTTACAATGGATGTTCCTAAAACAACACATGTAACATCATCATCATCATGCTGCTGCTAGCCCTTTGACTCATTGTGCTGTCAGTTGACAATCATTGATAGGCACCTGTGGGTCTCCTGTCCTTTCTGAAAGTCATAAAGATTACATTAGTACTTTAGATTACTTATGTCCTCAATTACCAGGGGATTACTGAAACCACCATGAATTAAAGAAATGGTAGAAATTATTCTAATCTGAATTTTGAAACCTTCCTTCCCATCCCTCTAAATATATCAATAAACATTAGAAAGTGATGCTCCTGACTACCATTCAAGTTTAAGAAGATAATATTTGTTTTAAAGAATTCAAAGCAATAAACAACAGCAACAGGCTCTGTAACAAAGGCAACGTTAGCCTAACATGTATATGTTAACAGGTAAGATAGCTGTTCACACTATGTATATTTTCTACTTTTTGTAATGCTATGTTATTTCTATTTAAGATGTTTACATTTTCGATTGTTTAATTCTAGTCTTTTAACTGTCTAATGTACAATGCCTTGTCTTTTGCTGCTACAGCGTAAACATTTCCCCAATTGGTATCAATAAAGTAGCCTACTTCTTATTTTATCTTAATCCTCAAATATTAGCACATTTTACTTTAAAAAAAACAAAACACATTGATGTAACTACATACACATATCGATATGTTGTATACATATTGCAAATCAAAACCTTTATTGACCACTAATTAGCAAAAATTGCATTTCTATCCTATTATTAATGGATTCAAATCGTGATTCAAATGGCCCGCCACGAACTTCCGGGAACTTTCTGAGTCTCTCTGGACCACGTGACGATCAAGCATTTTGGACTTCCGCTGTCGCAACTCTTCTCTCGACATGGCGCTGGACCAGCCAATCAGAATTGACCTTCTCGAGTTCTCCGATTGGTTGGTTTTGTGGCACATTTGTAACGCTGTGACAACTTGAGCTAGCGCAGGCAAAGCTGAGCGCGCACAGGCTGGAGAGGTCGAGCGAGCAAGGGAGAGAGAGCGCGGTGCAGCGGTCTGCTTGCGCACGGAGCAGGAGTTTTATGAGAGAAAATATATTTCTCTGTGCTCAAAAATGTTCAAGTGCGCGCTCAATAGCATTTTCTATGCTCAACATGTTTCATTGCATGCTCAGGATAGAGGCACAAATATAACGCCATACAAAACCAGCCTGTGCACACACCAGAGATGGAGTACTCGAGTGCTGATTTTCGGGACTCGTGACTTGACTCGGACTCGCGCACTGATTGACGCGACTCGGACTCGGACTCATGAATTCTCACGCACGATGACTTGGACTTGGATTCGGACTCGAACACAGGTAATGATGACTCGTACTCGGACTCGGCTCGGACACTCCTTGGATGACTCGGACTTGGACTCGAGCAAGTTTTCTCTGTAGTCTGATGACCTCTGTGTCCTGGCGTGTGCACCTGCGAGGCGAGTTCACGTACTGGGCGCGCCCCCGCTGCTATACCAGTCTAAAGATGTCCAGAGACACACCCCGCATCGTGCTGTATGCTTTTAAAGATTTTGTTTCCATATTGGGAAAGAGCAGCGCAAAATGCACATTATGTGGACAGAAGATAGAAGAGAAGACTGGGACAACGTCGAATTTCAATCGACACCTTTCACGGCGGCACCCAGAAAAGTAAGTAGAAATGCTATTGTTAGCTTGCTAACCCACGTTAACGTTAGCCACTAAATTGACTCTACAAAGGTTTTAAGATGTCGGGTTAGATGGAGGTAGGGGTTGATATCACATCCTAGGGACCAAGTGCAGTTTTATTGTCTAGATAGATACTGTTAAAAAGCTATACATGTCCTTGGTGATACTGCAGATGATGAGTAGCCTAGCCCTAGCCTACAATGAACGTGAAAATTAGAGACTGAAAATGATCTCCGTCACGGAGGCTCCATAACACATTACTCTAAGGATGGAGTTCATATATATATATATATATATATATATATATATATATATATATATATAGGTAGGCTGTATTGAACACTATCATCAGAGTAATGTGATCAAATCAATAAGTAAAGATTCAGCCGATAACATGAAAGCACATGGCTACTTAACATGCAGAATGTCGTCATTGTGCATGCTAAGTAGCAATGTGCTTTCTGGGGCTTAATCTTTATTGATATCATTTAAACGTTCACTTATTGGTTGTTGGACATTGTGATATTATTAAAAGCAATGTAGAGGAGCTACAGCTACATTTCAACACATATATCCACTAAGATTAATACATGAAGACTTGTGACTCGGACTTGACTTGGACTCTTCTTGGGTGACTCGGACTTGGACTCGGACTCGAACACAGGTAATGGTGACTCGGACTCGACTCGGACTCGGACACTCCTTGGGTGACTTGGACTCGGACTCGGACTCGACTACGACTCTCCCTAGGTGACTCGGACTTGGACTCAGACTCGAAGAGTGGGGACTCGAGAGTGACTTGGACTCGTGAATTGGTGACTTGACTACAACACTGGCACACACACACCCGCAGCCTGGCTGGGAGTTTGTGTGTGTGCTAACACACCGACTCACAGCCTCACCGCGTCCCGCCGTCTCAGGGAGGAGAAATCGGCGGAGCTGCAGCTGAGAAAAGATTGAGTGTGTGTGTGTGAGGAAGTCCACGGATTGGTCCATTTGGACCAATCCACGGACTTAACGTAACGGCTCCGCGGGCGTAACGTAACGGCTCCACGGATTGATCCATTTGGACCAATGGGTCCATTTGGGTATGGGCATGTCACTATACCCAGGAAGAAAACAATGGAAAAAGAGAAATCTCCAATGAGGCGTTCTGGGGCAGCATAGACAGGTATTTTCTGTGTTAGAGTTTTACTCCCTACAGGGTTTACTTTGAGGGTTTGTGAATCTGCAGACCGTTTACATGCAGAAAAACCTTCATAAAACACAAGGGGACGGGTGATAACCATTTAACCTTTAAGTTGGAGGATGACAACACCATCATTACAGTGTTGCCTCCACGGGGAGACTTTGAGGCAGTTTAAAAATAGTTCTACCAGGCAAGCATTGTGACAATGGCACTGTTCAGTCATGCTAACTGATTCACTATCATCCAAGTAACCCACGGACATATTGATGAATGCATAATGAGAGTTGTTCTCCCAGCTCACACACTGACGTGACATGCAACACATTCTCCGAAGTCTTTTTTCTGAACCTGTACACAGATTACCGTTCTCAGTACTGTCAGCAGACTTTGTGAAACAAACTGTCAATATAAAAATATTATGTTTACCATCTGTTCATCTGGTGAGGTGCAAGCCATTGTTATGTTATCCGCATAACATGACGTGCGTCACAGGTATGCATAACATTAGCTGCCTCACAGGACCTGCATTGAATGACTTGGTAACATCATCTGAGTCATACAAACCGCAAAACAGGACCCACATCACATAACCAGTGTTACATGACCTGTGTAACAGGACCCGCATAACATTACCTGCATCACAGGATCTGCATCACATTACCTGCGTCGCAGGACCCCAATCACATAATCTGCGTTACAGGACCCCCATAATAAACCTGGTTCACAGGACCCGCATAGCATGACCTGCGTCACAGGGCCTACATGAAATTACCTGTGTCACAGGACCTCCGCCACATTACCTGCTTTACAGGACCCACATGAAATAACCTGCCTTACAGGACCACCATAATATGACCTGCATAACAGGACCTGCATTAAATAACCTGCATAACATACCTGTTTCACAGGACCCACATCAAATGAACTGCATCACAGGACCCGCGTCGTAGGATCTGTGGCACAGGACCTGCATCACAGTACGTGTGTCAAATTACCTGTATAACCATGGGCGTATGAAGCATCCTGAATGTGGGGGGGACATTCCGAGGCCGTGGCGCATTTCCATTACAGTTTAGGACCTGGGGTAGTAACGCAGTGTAGGCGGGGCGATCGGCTTCACATTTCGCATTGTTCCGTCGAGCTCCCGCTGGATTTTATCATCCCCAATGAGATGTAGGAACGTCGTCACCTCCTCGGTCGACCACGGTGTGCTTTTCTTTGACGTTGCCATTTTTGTAGCTCCTCCGTTTACAAAAATGCCGTGTATAAAAATGCTGCAAGCTTGCTTCTAGATATATATGCGATGCTAGGGATGATCTCGCGCGCGATCTTGTGACGATTCTCTCTGACCAATCAGCAGTCGAGAGTGTTGACGTCACTAGTTCAGCCCTGGCCCTGGTCTGATAGAACCACGATTTTATGGGGCCGGAAAAAGAGGGAAAAAGTACCCGCTAGCCGGTACTAGGCTATATGGTAACGCCACCAAAAACTGGCCTGGCCGCTTGAGGACGGTTAAGGACGCTTAAACGGGGCTACCCGCTGCAGTGGAAATGCGCCAAAAGTGCGGCGAGTGGATAGACCGATTCACGGACTTTCCACATGGTAAAAGTGGGGGGTCTAAACCAGTGGTCTCCAACACGTCGATCGCGAGCTACCGGTAGCTCGCGGGCAGCTTTTCAGTAGCTCGCCGCTCGATTTTCGATTATAGCGTAGTAAGGTTGCTTCTTGATTTTTAGGCCGCGGCCGGACAATAACGTTTTTTTATTTTAGAATTGTTTCTGTCACACAAATCTAAAATTGGTCGGTGACGCAGAGATCAAGGAACAGACGTGACAGCGGCACATCGACACCACACACGGAGCAGTCTGCTTTCTCCACCAACACCAGTCCAGAACCAACAGCAGAATGACCCGCTCTGAATCAGTCCGTGTCGCTGCGGCTCAGAGACAGGGAGGGATTTGTGTTTTTGAAAAACACTCGTTATCGTCATGTCAGGTTTTTGGTGGATTTAATCAAGTCTTGGATTGCAGAGTATGAATGTCCTCTTGCTATTTTCAGTTGATAAATACGTGTGTAAAGTTTGTGAAGGCAGGAAGAAAGCTTCCGCGATCACCGTCTCCTCCGTTCCTCCAAACTCCGCCCCCTCCTGAAAACAAATGAGTGACAGGCTGATAGTGACCCGATAGAAACTTTATTATTCACTTAATCACTGATTGAGATGATGAAGCTAACTTAATCTCATACATTCATGGGATTTATGTAACAGTAAGACAGAGAATGTAAGTGTGCACCCACATGCAGTATTTTAGTTTTTATAATGCTGTTGTAAATACTCCTGTTGACTGCTGTGTTCAGACTCAAGTCATGTGTGTGATGCCTCATTCAGGACATTCAGTGTCCTTTCTTTAACAGAAGGCCGTTGCTAGAAGCTGAAGCTAGACTGCAGAAGCATTAGTTTTTTGTTTTTGAGGATGGAACAATTTCACACAGATATAGGGAGGCTAGACCTATACAATTGATTTATTATGGTTTATAATTTAATGTCAAGACGAATAAAAAGGAGAAGATGGCTGAACTGTTCAGTGTCAATCCTGTGGAGATGGAGATGGAGGTTATACATCTCCAAAATCATGTTCAGCTTAAATCTCAGCAAAACTCACAACATTTCTGGAGCCTTGTAGACTCAGACAACTCTAAGAACATTCACCAAGCAGCACTGAACATGTCTGCTTTATTTGGCTCTACAGACCTTTGTGAAGCAGCTTTTTCTGACACGAATGAAATCTAAATACAGAACAAGACCGACTGATGAACATTTAAATGACTCTATTAGAGTGAACCTAAGTGGGTACACTCCAGCATACACTCTATGGTGGACTCCATGCAGCGCCATTCATCTCACTATAACTGTGAAAAAGAGTGAATGCACATATTTTATACATGTGCCATAAGATGTTTGTACGGTGGTGATTAAGGTGATGTATTTACTATGTGGGCCATAATAAGAAGTGAAAATATTTTCTTTTTTTCTTGGACATGTATGTGAATCTTCAGTGATTACTATGTGGGCCATAATAAATGTGAGACATTTTCGTTTTCTTGGACCTTGATGTGAAGTTAAGATTTTTGATAAGCTTTGGGTATTGATTTCACACGTGTACAAAAGTAGCTTAATTCAAATGATGAGTGCTATGTGAATAAATGTAAGCGATGCGATGCAAGTAGCTCTTGGCCACTTTCATTTTTTCAAAGTAGCTCTCAGATGGAGAAAGGTTGGAGACTTGTCCCATCCAGGGGGGGGCGCCAGTGGGGAGCTAGGGGTTGCTGAAGTATCCCCCAGGATTGCCAAAGCACCCCCTAAGCACCCCCAAGAAATATGTGTTTTTCTTTTTTTTTTCCGAAAATTATTATTATTATTTTTATTAAATTAAATTAGAAAAATTATTGATTACATCAATGCAAATGTGAAACAAACACATTTTTTTTTACCAAAAACATAAAGCCAACACAGGTGATATGATTAGGCCAATGGCCAGCACCCATTCGATTTTTGACCTACCCATAGGCTAAATTACTTTGTGACACTTGAGTGACTTCCTGTTAGCTAGAGCGCCAAATTATTTGCTAACAGCAAAGTGAAACATTTATCGTTTTTTAGTCCTTAAAAGTCCACGTGTGGACACTCAATCAAAACCACCTGAAAGCGAGAGGGATTCTGCACATAATAGCATAGCCTCGTGAGTACAAGTAGCTTAGTTCTGGGTCTCTGTGTTTCATTCAAGCTCTGCTCTGT